CCCGCCCCTCCGCCATGCAGTGACACATGCAATCACTGGCGGCGGTGCTGCCCCACCCCATCGAACAGGCCACCTGCCGAACATGACTTATTCAAGCGTAACGAGATTCCTGTCCGCAGATACGCTGCCCTCTGCCCCTTCCCGTCGCGGCAGTGCTGCGGCTGGCGCCACGCGGTGGGACGTGGCGGGGTGTGGCGGGGTGGTGTGTGTGTGTGTGTGTGGAGGGGGGTTAGGCCACAAGCGGACAGTTACCAGTGCAGACACGCGAATCGAATCGGGCCGAAAAGAGAGGCCGCATAGTAGCGCTCAGATAAGAGCGCGGCTTGAGTGGTCGAGCCTGCTCCTAAAACGCTAGGTGGGCGTCAAAAGTAATTGAACTGGGTTCATGAAAATTGTAGTCTACATCCTGTACAAACAGTTTTTTGTTGCTTTCCTGGGAAAGAACACGGCTCCAGAACCAAAACCCCGAAATGACCGCCAGAAGCGATATTGAAATGGCACCGATTTTGTTCACGTCGCACAAACAAGTGTGACATGTGTCACATGTTTTCATCATGCACTCTCAGGAGAGAACTTTCTTGATGCACTCTACTCCATGTAAAAGGATAGGCGCATCAGAGGGAGAGTGCGTCAGGAAACGTGTTCTCTCGAGAGTGCATCAAGAAACGTGACACATGTCACGTTAGTTTTCCCAGTTAATGGTCCGATTTTCGATCGATATAGTTTTTGACAGTCATTTCGCATCGGACACGGACAGGTCAAGCCACCCCCTCGGTTGGTAGCAAACAATCATGATGGGTGACCGGGGGGGGGGGGGGAGGTGTCAGGATAATGTCCAGGGGCGGTTCACACCGGAAGCGTCCATGACGCTCGCCACGAGGCCGGGCGGCCATGCGCGCCCTAAACTGCCATGAGCGTGACTTATCGCCGGGCCAGTGGCTAGCTCATCAGGCGCCCTACAGGTGTGACAGGACATTGCCATCCCGGGAGCTGACCCGGTGCTCAGTGCTCTCCACCCTTTTCCTCTGTTTCAGCCGTGCAGCACGAGCGCGCGCCGCGGTCGCTGCCCCCCAGCATGTCGCCGTGCGGCGCCTTCTCCATGGGCGCGCCCATGTCCATGGCGTACTCGCTGCCGCGCCGGCCCCACCTCGGGGGCCCCGGCCCCACTGGTCCCGCCCCCTTCTCGCCGAGCCTCGGCCTGGGGGCGGGCCTCGGCGCCATGGGGCTTAGCAGCCTGGGGTCGGGGCTGGGGGCGGTGCCGGGCGGGGGCGGTGCGGGGGGCGACATGCACACCACCGTCATCTTGTACCCGCCGCCATCGCCCTTCGGCATGAAGCCGGGCATATTCGACGGCCAGACATTCGGTAAGTCAAATCGATTTGGAATTCACCGCTGGATTCGCTAGAGGGCTCGTCTCTACCGCCGTTCTACCCTAGGTCTGCCACTTTCCTTCCAACCCTTTCCTCACCCGACCGCCGCCCCTGGCCCCAGCCTGAGTCCCGGGCGGCCACTGCCCCGCGAGAAGGAGGACGAGGTGACGAGTTCGGAGGAGGCGCGCGGCCAGCCCTCGCCGGCGAACCTCCCGGACAATGGCGGCGCCGAGGCCCCGGCCTCTTCCCCGGCCGCGCTAGCCGCGCTCAGCGTCGACGTGCCCCGCCTCACCGTCCTGGCCAGCGATGCCCCGCTGCCCCCGCTGGCCCCCGGCCCCCTGTTCTGCCCGCCGCCCGCCTGCTTCGACAACGTGTACGAGTCTGCCGCCAAGATCCTCTTCCTCGCCGTCAAGTGGGCGCGGAGCATACCCGCCTTCTTGCAGGTCAGTGATCGTGGTCGGCCCAATGCTCGTTTCGCCTTCGGCCTTATTCGTCTTGAATAGACTGTGCCGCTCGCTCGCACGGGCGCGTTTGCCTTTGCAGACTGATTCCGGGGAGCGTATTAGGGGGGACGACAGGCCTCCTTCCCACGAGTGAGACAGAGACAGCGACTGCTCCCGTCTTTCGCACTCGTGAGGATGAGGTGGATGAGGCATCCCACCTACCTACCTCCCCTTGAGCGCTCTGCGGAATCAGTCTGCTGAAGACTGTGGTGCCTTAGCCCGAGCGAGTAGGCGACCCGCCCCCACGTATGCATGTGGGGCATCTAACCACCGAAGTAGACGGAACGAAAGAGCCACCCGGTATTGTCAGGTATTGTGCATGTAACCCTCTTGATGGAGTCCTGACGCCTGAACGTCTTCAGCTCTCCGGCGCCGACCAGTCCGTCCTGCTCGAGGAGGGCTGGCCCGACCTCTTCGTGCTGAGCGCGGCGCAGTGGCAGCTCCCCGTGCACCACGGTAACGTTCGTCCTACCCCTACCCGTCCCGACATCCGTTTCGGCCATCATCTGACCGACGTCTCTCTTTTCCAGAGTCCCTGGTCGCGGGCGCCGTGTCGCCACCATCCCGACGCTCCGTCCTGGCCGAGGATGCTCGGCGCCTGGAGGAGGCCGTGGCGCGCTTTCAGTCGCTCCGCGTCGACCACACCGAGTACGCGTGCCTGAAGGCTCTCGTACTGTTCAAGGCCGGTGAGTGTTACAATTCTACTATAATCGCCATGACCTCCTGAAGAGGCTGTAACATGCAGCAGATGGGGTCAACCTACCGAGGGGTCATCATCATCACCGCAAAAAGAAATTTAACCCCGCTCACATCTAAATTCCAAGCAGATCAATTCTATATCTGCGGTGATGGCACTTAAAATTCAAGCGCACACCGATTTTACTGTTGTTGCAACGGACCCGTTTCTACCACACGGGCGGCGCGCGGGGAGCCAGAGCGGAGGGTGTACACTGATTTTTCCGAGTGAAGTGCCCCTGACCACCCCTGCTTCTTCCCTTTCCCCTCCAGAAGCACGAGGCCTGGGTGACGGGCTGCAGGTGGAGGCGCTGGCCGACCAGACGCACGCCATGATGTCCGAGTACTGCTCGGTGCGAGGGCGCGCGCGCCTCGGCCGCCTGCTGCTGTTGCTGCCCGCGGTGCGCGCCCTCAGCTCGAGGTCGCTCCAGGAACTCTTCTTCCGGCAGACCGTAGGGGACGTGCCCATCGAGCGGCTCCTCGGGGACATGCTAAACAGCCCGTAGCGAGCCTTCGCAATAGTTATTAAGTTTATGTTTGCGCCCCTGTATAAAGTGTATAAATGTATCTTGGAATCTTGTAATATTTGAATAAGCAATACAACGATTTTGATTGTTACGAAAGAACTGATGTTTCTCACACGTTGTTGCCAAACTTATACAACAACTTCAAAAACTCTGAAAGATGATCGAAGGAAAATTAAGGTATGAATTTCGGTGTTAATAAGG